AACATAGTACTAAGAAAATCACGTAAAAATACAGGGTTAACTGAGTTAACTAAGGGCTGTCAGAAAAAATTTCAATGTTGTAATCGATTCTAAACTCGTTAGTGTTATGATATAGATTTCGAGTTAAGCTAGAGTTTTTTTAATTTTGAGGTTTTAACGTTTTGTTTTGAACAGGATAAAAAACAATGATATGCAGTAAGGTAATTCAGTGGTTAAAAATAGAAACGTAAATGATTAAATCGTAAAACTTAGCCAAAATTAACCTCTTATGTATGCTTTTCTTAATAATTTGAAACATAAGAAGTAAGGAACGACTTCATTCTGTTTCGAGGCTTTTAATCATGTGTAAGCAGGAAATAATCGTTTGGGCTGTTTGCATCCAAGAAAAAGCTTCAAAACAGATTGAATCCATTGTTTCCCATGATTTGTGTTGTGTTTGTTCCTTTCTCCAACTCCCAAGAAGCATCAAATGCAACACATTGATATCCATAAACGTGACAAAAATAAGCTGTACTGAGTCTTAATTCACAGACGTATTTACTTTTTTCTTCTTCCTATATTGTGTTTTACTCTTTACACATTATTCTTATTAATTTCTCTTGGTTTCAATTTCTTGAATGCATGATTACTTCAGTCTGTATGTTACTGTGTTGTTTATCATATTGTATTCTCATCAGTTAATTGTGTCCAATTATTTTGACATATACTACTTATTCAACCTGCTAGTTGGTAAATTTAATTTATAATCATTTTAAAAAACCTACATATTGAAACTTGAATGAATAAAAGTAATGATTAGTTTGAATAGCTATTTTCTAGTTCGACTTGTGAAAGTGATGCACAATATGTGTATACATATAACAAACGTAGATGATCAGTAGTTAAAGCATAAAAAGCAATCCAGTTGGGAATTAGGTTTCATTTGTTTATTTATTTTACCTATTCATTTGTTCTTGTCCAGCTGTTATAAATTTGATGAATATAATCAAATTAATCTGTGTTCTATAAGTGAAAAGCGTTAAAAATCATTCCAAGCTTTTGAATATGTACAATCAGCTATATAGAAATTATTAATACATACTAAAGATGACAACAGATGTAAAAGGATTTTTTTTACAGATTTTCAGGATTTAATATTTAAAAAAGATGTCACGCTTTTATTCTCCGTATTTTTTGTCAACAACAATTCTTCAATATTCTAGACTGAAAACTGAAAATCTATTTTCGAAATTCAATTTTCATAGATCTCAAGGAATTCAAAAATTACCTACCTATTAGTTTTAGCTTTTTGTCATAATAGATACCAACAAGTTAGAATTCGATAATGCTCTTAACAAATTAACGTTTGATGATAGAGATTTACTGATTTTTGAGGTGGTTTCTTCTGTCACCTTCTAGTAAGATGAATCAAGGTACACTGTATATTTCAGGCCCCGCTGAATAGATATTCGGCTATGATTGCTGATGATATCAGTTCAAAATGTGCTAATTGTTAGTTACATTGATGACTACTGAAATTGTTTAAATAAATTATACAGAATACTTTTGTTTGTGCATTCCTGACGCCATTATAACAATCATATTGGTCACATATAATGAGCTAAATTTTATCGTTTCCTAATAAAGATCATAAATTGATTTCATGAGTACATCTTTCGTGGGAATATACCAATAGCCTACTGTGGACAACTTCCATTCCATAGAATATATCAATAAAGTGAGTCTACATTATTGAGTCATTTAAAATATCAAGTGGTTAAAAGTAAATACACCTATGGAGTTATTAGGAACAGTGTAATATTCTAATTATTGAACTTTTCAAATGTTTTTTCCATTCATAGCTGGTTTTATCTCATTATGTCAATTCATATGTTTCAGTCACTAGTAAATTAAAGATAACGTTGTTCATACATATTATTCATATTGTTGTGTATTATAAGTATTTTATTATACAAAATCAGTCAGAACTCTTGTGTCATGGATGTTGCAATACATGAACGACAAGGTTTAAGGTTAACCACATTGTACAAGCTTATTTATAATCATCATTATGAACGTATTTGTATTAAATGGCTCGTGCTATTGAATTTACTTAATTACATATTGTTAAGTCGGCTTACAGTAAACTCTATTAGAGCCTCCAGAGGCTCATAAAGAGCCCAACCAATCAGCGATTAGTTAGAAGCTATGCTACTAAAATAACGAGGTCCTGATTGGCTGTTTAACATACTGCTACTATGGAATCTCAAGGTCTTTTAATTACTATAAAACCCCTGTTTTTCTGTACACAGATGAACCTTGTAGTAAAGTGTTTCTCTGATACTCGTGTCTTTTCTCTGGTCTTCAAGTTGCTGTATAGTTCTAGCTCGGGGATCCGAAACTAGCTTAGGGAAGCAAACATAACGTTCACAAACGGGCAGACGTAACACATATATTTTATTCAGATTAAGCAACCTGTACTGTGAAATATGGCCGGTAAGAGTAGAGGATATTCGTAGGTTTCTAGTATTTGATCATAGGTGTCTTCGAAGCATTGCTCGTATATCCTGGGACCACCCAATAAGCAATGCAGTTATTAGAAAATGGGTATTTCGTAAGGATGGCAAATCGATTGGTGAAGTAGTGAAACTTCATCAGTTGAGATGGCTGGGACATGTGCTACGTATGCCCAACCACCAACTGCTCCGACGAGCGATGTTTTATAGTGTAGGAGTAGGTTGGAAGAAAGCTAAGAGGAGGTAAAACCAAAACGTGGCACAAGTCCATGAAGTCACTGACAATTGGACTGAGCCATGTTGGTAGGTGTAGACTACCTGGTTGGGATCCGTGAGATGATAACAACCGATGGTTAGAGACCTTGAATGACACGGCTCAAAATCGTTTGCAATGGCGCAGGTGCACCACTCTTTGTGTTCTCCCAAATTCTAATCTTCTGAGTTCTTCATGTCTCTTTCCAAATTTATTTCACTGAATTATACTCCTTGAATAGCATCTTCAAACCCTAATCTTTCGGATTACTCTTACTACCTCTACAACGATGAGATTTGAATCGAAAATTGTATCTCTGTGCTATTGTGGTATGACAACTCGAACTGATGTACGTACCTACGGAGTTCTGTGTTGTTGCTGACTGAACTGTCAATATTTCATGTTATAAATTATTTCCAAAGCTCCAAGTAGAAAAAGAAGTCAATGTAATTTAGTTACTTATGTGTGGGCGAAAAGTAAACTACCACTTATTAAAACAATATAAAAAATATAAACTTTTTGAAAAATTCAAAGTTCAATAGCAACTGTTTGTCATTCTCTCTTATTTCTGCTAACCGAAATGATGATAATCTTTCTTTACACAACACACTGTCTAAGCTTTACAAATGATAAATTATTGATCATATAATGAACAGTGTCCTATTATTAATGCAAGATTTGTATAGATTGTTAAATTTAAAGATAGTCTGTATAACAATCTGACTTCAACTAGACAATTTTTAGAAGTCACAAGCTCTGAACATCTATTTTATCCTAATTTGTGTTACATCGGTTGTGTGCAGCTATGATCTCACATAGATTGCTTAAACGTCTAATGCGTCATTTTCGGACCTCTGAGTTGATATCCAATGATCCATACTCTCAACTTCTATTAATCTGCTTTATTAGGCAATCTGTAGTCCCTCGGTTATATTTCTGACGATATTGTGAATATAAAATTCTGAAGCCTCATACTAGGATTGAATTTCTGTCTAGTGCTTCTTGGTTTTCTACGGTTATATGGCTGAAGTCAGTTATTAATGTAAATTACTTTCTGATATTTCATTTTTATATTATCATCCCCTTGTTTAATCGAACATTTTACTATGTATCTAGTTAGTAAATGCCAGGGTATTTTTATGCCTAAGCTACTGGTCTTAAGGTCAAATAACAGCGATGCAGCAATAAAAAAATTTCTGAATTTTTTCAGACTATCCTATGCATAATAATTAATTACAACTATACAATAAATGAACAGATAGAAAATTCTCGTGTAAATGTTTTATTAAACAGGTTAAAACCTTGACCCTTAGCTGCCGTATACCAATTTTGGAAGCCACCCTTCCATCCATTACGAACTCCTGCACAAAACATATGGCTTAAATTCCATTCCAAACTAAGAGGGTTCATTTTCCGTTTTTACAGTTAAATTGTTTCTATCGAACTTAGTCACTCGATTGGTCAAATCATTCACGTTAAAGAATTTACTTTTTATCTGTCTGCTTTCCCAGTATCCGTTTGTTTAACATTAGGGAATAAGAATATCTAAAGTATTTTCCAAATGGTTTCTCACTTGATATATAATCATATTGTGGTATGTGCTACCGATATCGACAGATATAAGTAGTGTGTCACTAATCGACAGTGAAATGCCTGGAAGCAGGAGGTTAAGAAGATCAAAAAAGAGAATGAAAACAAAGAATGATTAGTGTGAAAATGAAAGAACAATAAAGTCTGAGACGATTGATCGACATTTTGCAAATTAAGTATATACTGTATGGTTCTCAGATTTTACTAAGAGATTCTGTAATTTTGTATTCAAATACATTCGATTGTCCCCACTTGTGTTTTCGTTCACTACAATATCACATACCTTCAGTATAACTTCTGAAGACTCTGTATAAGATTCTAATCTTGAGAAGGTTTTCTTTCTCTGAGCTTGATAGTTTGATCAGATGAAGAGTCTACCTAAAGTTTGTGCTGATAATGTTACTCAGAAGAATAATAAAGCGTCTCAACAGAACCATTCGCCCCAGGAAATGAAACTCTGTTAAAAAGATTATGATCCACTAATGAGTGATAGATCTGTTTTATCGATGATAATGAATGATAACTTCTCTGATTCGCATCAGTACCGGATATTCTGAATGATTTGTTTAGTCCTAAAAACTATTTTACATTATATTTCTTGCTTAATTTAATAGAATTTAACTTAATGAATAATTTATCGACTTTCTTTTTACTTTCAAAAGGATCCTTGCTTACTCGAAGGTTTCAATGTGACAAGTGAACTTACTCCTCGTCCGGTTATTGGTGAGAAGCTTGATTCAGCGAGTGACAAAATTTCTGTTCAGTATACAGTAAGTTTTATGAAAGGATATCATTCACTCATTCTTTCATTATATTTTAAAGCAAGTTTATATCACATTTTAAAAAGTAGAAAATTGCTTAAATCATCCGCAATAATTACTACATAGACTGCATAGTCACATAACAAAAGATTACGTTCAGCATACAGATCGAGATAAGTTCAAAGTATATTCATATCATGTTATTTCAACGTCAGTTTCTGTTGCCTAGTAACTTTGGAAATGATTTAAAGTATGATTAACCACAAGTGATTATCAGAATAACTTAAGAATTTCAAGGGTATCAGCATGTTTTTCTTACTACTGTATTGTTTACGTACAAACACAAGGTATGATGTCATTGCCTGAAACAAAAAAAATGCACATTCTTCCTCATCTAAGCAGTCATCATAAAGACATGGTAAAACTAAGTAACTCTGTTTAGGTGTCCTGAAGTTATACATTTGATGAAATATATTAGAAATTAGTCATATAGTTTCACTTAAATATCTATGGTTGATGTTATTTTGTTTTTTATTATGCTACTGAACTTTGTTTTCACAAAACGACTCCATGTATTTTAATTATACCAAAAAGAGAACAAAATAACTGATTTTGTACACAAAATTATGGTTTAAATTTATGAATGGCTAAAACCTCTGGATTGCAAAACATTTTTAGGCGTATAACTCTTGGAATATTAGACCAGACCCTATAAATATTATCACATAATGAATCTGCTGCTGAATAACTTGAATCCAATATATTTTTCAGAATAAAGAATTTAGTTGATCTGTCCAGTTTTTTTGTTAAATCATGCTTAGCAACGTTCTTTAGTGTGATGAAAAAAGGTGGCCTCTGTGTAAAACGTGCTTACCTAACTAAGGCATACACCTTAAAATGGTCAGTAGCAGATACGCTTATATGGCATGGAAAATAAACAAGACTTTTTTCCCCGTTATTGAAACCCGACTAGGAAAAATTCTTTGGATGCTCGTTTCACGTAAATGTTCTAAGTATGTACATATGTAGCTTATTACGATTTATGTTAAATAATATGATACCAAGAAATGGCATTTTTTGATTCATATTTTGTTTTCCTAAGTGGTCACTAAAGAAAGGCCTTGATAGACAGCACAATTCCTTTGTTCTACTATTGATATCATTCATAGAAAATATCGGAATTTACACGTCGTGAATTCAAAATAGAATCTAGATTTTATTTAGTATTTTACTTCTTTCTACATTGGAAATATTTTTTACGAAATTCACAATCATCTGTATTTATTTAAGACATTTAGTAGTTGATGTTACACACTGAATGAGTCCATATTCCTGCATGCAATATTTAGTAAAAGATAATAATGATATTAAGTTATCGTGCACTTAAAATTTGTTAATCATGATGAGTTGGAATCCAGTGATCCATATTTCCAACTTCAATCAATTTGGCTCAATAACTATACAATATCACTAATAAATGACAGCTGTACTCGTAACGTAAGAGGAGCGATTCATTTCAAATCTGTTTGGTTTTTTGTGTTAGCAAGTATCATGATTGGCTAATTTTCATCGTTTATCGTCAACTTAATCTGATTATCATCAATAAACGCGCTAATAAGGTTTGAATTTCTTCAGTTTTAATGAACTTTTATTTCGGGTTTTTATTTGAATATAATTTTGACTGACCCTTCGATAGGAGATCTTGACCAAGTACTGATGTCAAGCATTGCCAATAGCTCCATATGAAACCATTTATTAACTCTCTTAGTTCTCAAGCATAATTTGCGTAGTTGTATGCGTAAAGAATTTGATGTGAATCGTTTAAAGATTCGTCGACTGTTTAACTTGTACTTATCTATTTAGTTCATAAATACAACATCCCTTGCATCTCATCTTCAATATATAACCAGATACTGCACACTATACTATCCTGTATTTAAATCTTGATAATGACCTGATAAAGCAAAAATATCGATAGATGTAGGAAACCAATGCATCAGTAAGGGTTTTTTATCTGAATACCGATTTTGTTTTCATCCATAAGCTTATTTTCCCCATAAGATTACGTCATTTATGTGACTGAATTTTTATTTCTATAAAATGAACAAATAAAATGAGAATGTGTCACGTCAAATATTTTACCACAAAACAATTATTATTTACGTTCAGTTTACAATATCTCTCAGGGTGGTCATAAAAATCCATGAGATGAATTTTTAAATCACTGTTTATTCCTCTGATACATTTAGAATTCTAAGTTTTTTTTTACTGCTATCGTTTATTTCAAGACATCACATGATGATTTAATAAAAAGTAAGTGTCTTGAAAATTGTCTTGCTGAAAGTCACTTCTAGTCTTCGTCTGAATATTGTGAATTTCATTTTGGTAAATTACGTTTGATTTTGATCTCTAATTTCACATTTTCAAACTCCTTTTTTAAAAACTTCAACATGTCTTTTCATCGGTGACTGTCTTTTTCTCGTGGTTTGATGTTTGCTTGTAAAAGATTGAAGATATTCAATATTGATATTGTTTTTTAGTTAATTTCTAATCTTGAAGTAAAAAGAAGTTATAGAAATTGAGAAATGTTAGTCATTTAATCACAATTCTCTGGGCTCTTAGTATCCTATTCTTCACTAATTTGAAATATTCTGAGTTCATTGCTGCTTGTACACTTCTGAAGTAGGTGTTCTTTGGAATTTGGTTTTTAATAAAGTTTCTCTTGGTATCACTTCGTGACGAGAGCTTATCTTCAAAACAAAATGTCTGATTTACAGATGCTTATGTCAGTTTAAATACTAGATTTCTGTTCTGTCAGCCTTAATATCCTGGTCAAAATGTTTTGGTTATACAAGTGTATCAGTCTAGTTACCAAATGACTATATCCATTCTAGTATTTAAAACTTTTAATGATATTCAATTTTTATCGCAAGTAGGGTCATGTCATGTGACCTTCATTTCTATAAGTAGCGATGATCGATTAGTGACTAAGTTACTAGGATGAAATTCAATAGTTGGTATATTTCGTTCTTGATAAAGCCTTGATTTAATATGATATCACCAGTTCAATACTGTCAAGAAACATGCTCATCGACCGATTTCTTTAAGGTTATATATGGTCACCAATTGGATTTGAAATTTGAAATACATCATTTTTCTCTGTTTGATAGAAACGGTTAATATTTATTCACACTTACACTTATAATATCTGGCATTAAATATTATTATTAAGACATCCCTAACGCCAATATTTTGAGGTTTAGTTTCCAATTGTGAACCAGTACAAAGATTGCTGACCTAATACACAGTTATCGTGTAGTTCCTTCATCATATTATAATATGATCTGTGAATAAGGCTATCACTTTGTTTGTTACAAATAATTCCTTTTACGGAGTTAAAAGATGTTACTTTTCTATACTCTACGTAAGTATATCACCTAGATTCACAACATTTTGCGCAATTTTTTAAAGAACACAGATCATCAACGTGTTTTTAGCAGTTATCATTAGATCTCGTTAACGCGGTGGACACCATCAGCATTAACCAACGAATATCCAATAGAATGAAAACTTTTATTTAGGATCCTTTTTGTTAGATGTCAGTCAGTGTGGCACCAATCTCTGCATCAATGATCCTCATCATGCACAAGGAAAAGGCAAGATCCTCAAACACAACACAGAAAACACCAACACTATCACACTTGAAGGAGAAACTGTGGAAGAGGTGGAACGTTTTATGTACCTGATCAGCAGCACGATCGATGAACAAGGAGGATCGGATGCAGACGTGAATGGGAATATCGGCAAAGTAAGGGCCGCATTCCTACAATTGAAGAACATATGCAACCTACAACAACTATCTTCAAGCCAACATCAAAGTCATAATCTTCAATACGAACATCAAGACATTTCTACTGAACGGAGCTGAAACTTGGAGAACTACCACAGACATCATGAATAAAGTGCAAGTATTCCTAAACAAATGTCTACACAAGATACTGAACGTCTGTTAGTCGGGAACCATCAGCAACAGCCTTCTGTGGGAGGGGACAAACCAGCTTTCAGCCGAAGAGGAAACTAGGAAAAGATGTTGGAATTGGATAGGACACACATTACGGAAATCATCATACTGTATCAACAGGCAAGCCCTAACTTGGAATCCTGAAAGCTAAAGGAAAAGAGGAAGATCAAGGAACACATGGCGTTGGGAATCGGAACCGGACATCAAAAGAATGAATAGCAATTGAAAACTATTGAAAAGCATTGCCCTGGATAGAATTGGCTGGCGAATCGTAGTAGGTAGCTTATTCTCCTCCACGAGTAGTAATAGGCGTAAGTTGTTAGATGTCCTTATTCAGTTATTAGTGTGTTGTTAGGTTTTATTTCATTTCGTTTGAAGTTTCTTGGCTGTGATTTTGTAACCCGTTCGACGCTTTCTATTCATTTTGTGCTTAAATGAAGTGTATTGGATAATAACATTCTTAATAATGTTTTTATAATTTCATGTTAAAACTTTATTTGAAAGAGTTACCAATAATTATCACTTTAAAAATAAAATCAATTCACTGACCACTGTCATTAATTCAGAACATTTTGTTATCTATGACAAATCAATATTCCTACTTAGGTTTATCATTGATATAATTGTAAACATGATTATCACAAAACTAATCCATTTCTTAGGTTGGTTAGAATTTATCTTCATTCAACCGCCTAACTTTATTCTATACACATTTTCACGCATATTGTACATATAAAGAAGAACTTGAACAAACATATACTCATATTTTAAGAGGAGATTCTTTTTTAACGAATAATGAACTCGTTGGTACAGCATTATAAGAAAATAAGGAACAAATAATTGTGATTATTATTAAATTCACTTAGTATTACTTGTTTGAATCTTCCCATTGATGTTTAGGACTGCAACTAGTCAGTCTCTTATTAGCATATGTGCATACTGTGCGTATTGCCTCGATATAGCCTTAATTCACAAGCATTGTAAGCAAAGATGGATAGTGGTTAGCAGGACGAAACGCGCGTCCTGGATTCCACTGCTAGCCACTATCTATCTTTGCTTACAATGTGATCATTATTATTATTGAATTACATCGAAATAAAATAACTACCTGAATATGTCTTTCATTGTCTAATAAAAGGAAAAGAAGAAATAATTTATACTTATCATATAAACGAAAAGAAATAAATAGTCAAATATAATTACATGTACAATCGTAATTAAATGTTGAAAATTATTTTAACAAAATGCACTTACAATATTCTGTCGTTACTGTTGTTATAATTATTAATGAAAATCTCCATGTAACATAACAGATGTTCATTACGAAATTCTTGATGTTCAAATTGCTTTATTCAATGTCTTTTATTTAAAACAAAGTCGAATAACTGTGCCTTTAAGAAGTAAACAAGCTAACACTTACTTCTTTTTCAAATCTTTGATAATGAATATATGTACGTCTATTGAACACCTGAATAATATGGGGTTGTGATATACTGGGTCAATCACATTTTGACGAAATGATAAAGAAAAGATACTGACAGGGGCGAGCTAATAGTAAAGATTTAACCATACTTTCTGAGGCAATAGTAATATGATGCTTGTTAGAAATCTGGTCTCATTTTTCCATGAAGAAGGATACATGTTTATGAATAAGTGGTGCATCTATTTCCGGTTTGGTTAACCAGTAAAAGATTCCTACTCAGTCTTAGTTTTCTCACTCAAATAGCTAGTTGAGCCCGCATTTAGAAAATGTATCTATCAAAAGAGGAATCTGACGACCATAGAACATTGTTTGAAGCATAAATCCAGTTGATCTGACTTCATACGTCTATCAGTATATGTTTACGTCTTTACAATGATTTGATAACATTTTACTGAATGCTGAAATATGTAATGTATCTTTAACCACAAAGTAATTCATTGTTGATTGCAGTGTAAGACGCAAAGGCTCACTAATGACTGGTATGTATATAAGTTAATCAATAGTGTTTAGTTTGGGTAACGTAATATTATACATTGTGGCATTTCAAGTTAATTGAAATCAACATTCTCACATGTTATAATGTCATAGTTGATCATCGAATCGAATCTTTGCTGTTCTTTGTTTCACCGTAAAATTTTTAAAAACTGTTTACTGTGTCTCAAAAATTAGTATTTTCTGATCACTACCTTTTGGATTAAATTGTAAATTTCAAACTATTGAACTTTATTAATTAAAAATATAATCTTTTAAATGTAACAAATAACAATACTTGAGTGTTTCGCATGTGTTTATGAATTTCTGAATCAAAAAATGTCACAAAACCACATGATACTCAATACTTGATTTAAAGATAGAAATGGAGTAGATTTATTATTATTAATTAATGGCTTTATTCTATATTATAATCTGGTACAATATAGAATTCTCAGCACGAGTTATTTCAACAAGTTTTTTTATCAAAAAAAGAAACAAGACAAACAAAAAAACAGAAATAAAAAAAAGTTTAGGAAAATCTGACTTTATACAAATTATCGAATTTGAGACATGCTTAAGAATACAGGTTATTTACTAGGTCAACCCTAACAGCCTGTTCGTCACAAAGTAAATTCGCTAAGTAAGATATTACAGAACTTTTATAGATTTGCTTGCGTGCATGGATTTTAATGTATTTACGTCTCGTTCTACCAGAAGATATACAAGGAGAAAGATATGAATGAAGCGGATGGTTAGTATCTGATAAGATAACACCTGCCAAGAGTTTGCAAGACTTAAGATGTCTATCCACAAGCATATTAACAATGACTTCAAAAGATTCACCACGTACCTTGCAAACTGCCTTCATCCATGACTTTTATGTTGAGAATCTCATCAACAAAATTGTAATTAAGACAGAGACGTCTTCTTACCGTTTTTGAAATATTTGTACAAATTCACAATATCTAACACTGACTACTCAACTCTGAGATATTGACGATGTTTGTAAATCGTCCTATGCGTTTTGATTTAAACATTGAGTTTGTAGAGTATATGGTAGGAGAAATGAAGCGCTAAATTCTTTTCTGGATATTTATTGGTTTAGGTGATTTTTATGTGTAAAAGACATTTACAGAATTTCATTTATCGGAAATTAGAACATTAAAATAATTTAAATAAATAGAAACAAACCTTAATTTGATCCATTTAAGGCATATTACTAATCTAAAAGGTTCCATTCACGATCTGTATGCTTCTTAACTACAATATATACAATTAGTCTCAGTGAATAAAATGCATTCATCCTCTGTCTTACTGTTAATGAAGCATATTTCATATTTTTTTTACAGTTTCCCTTTGACTTTCTCCTTCATTTTCATACTTCAGACATTATTTTCACTTTTTGACTTTTTCGCTTTACCTATACAAATTGCCTCATTGATGGAATCACATTTTTTGAATACTAATACTATTCTTTGCGTGTTATCTTAGCAGCCTAATGTCTAAAATTTTTCGTCCCTAAATGCCCTGGTACGGTCGAGAGAAGGGAGAGTCAGCTCACCCTCTCGAAATGCTCTCATATAACCACGCGTATACAGCCACTGCCATGCAAGTCCTAGTCGCTGCCTTCTCGTGGGGCGGGTGTTGTTTACGAAATCGAGAGGACGAAAAGCGAATGTCCGGAGCTTTAACCGCATCGATGGACACGGAGGGTCCACCTAGAGGAGTTGGAAAACCCTGATTCCAAACCAATGGTGCACATGGGCTCCAGGATCCTGGAAGAACAAGTGGCGAACGAATCAACTATCGGTCACTGGATACCATGGGACTGTACCTCCTGACGTTTCTCCACTGCCTTGTGGATCAGACCTTTAGGTCAAAGGCTCCAGCTGTGGTCCCATGAGAAAACCACCTGCTTCGGTCTGGGCACCCGAGTAGTATCCCGGCCCTCACACAAATTGAATGATTTATGTGGTGCATATCTATATAATGTCTCCTTGTACCAATATTTGTGTCCAAATAAATAAATAACACAAATTCGGTATTAAATTACTGTCACATTTGAAGGTCATTCAATTTAATGTTTTTAACTTCCTATGATTCTGTCATCCTACAATAGATGCCAAATGTTATTATGACAGAATAAAAAGAGGTGAACAGTTCACATAAAACTAAATAATTAATTTATTACAATAATTTCATATTGTCGTGAAATAAACGATATGACATAATTCATTTTAAATAATTCAGACATACCATAACATGCTTATTCAATCGTTCAAGTACACATTCCTGGTAATTAATTATCATATTCTGAAGAAACCAACATACGTGGGTGTCTTGGTATGTATTCATTCTTTTTGTGAAATACTTATAGAATATATTCCAATTCATTAATTATTATTATTATTGCTGTAATTAATGCTATTTATCTGGTTACAGTGAAGAAACCTCAATACAAATTATAAAACTTTGCTATAATTTCCGCTGCAAAATATGTCCAACTTTTAAATACATTAAACAAAGTTTCCCAACACTTTGTCTTCCATTGATCACCAATTATGAGTTTTCGGACAACTTGGATTCATGCACTGAACATTATATATTTACCTGTCGTTTCCCCTAAGGTTGAACAATAAGGAAAATGTACCAACCGTTATTGTGTTTCCGCTTTTATCTTATAGTCGTTAGTATCAACATACGTTGAAGGATTTTGCAAAACCACATGAGAACATGGTGAGATTTACATTCGTAAATACTTTGTTAAAACAAATTAAAAATGTGAATAATTATTCTAATAGCTTTAGAATAGATAGCTCAAAAATGCAAAAATTTATTTCCTATGATAGTGCTCAAAAGTGATTGCAGCTACCCATTTACTTGTATTTTTATTCTTCCTTTAAATAGAAAGTTAGTTTTTATTCTTTGAAATCCATCCTACTTTGTCACCTTTATTTGTTATGGATTGATATGCAGCAGCATGGGCCTATATATTATTTATACCAGATTCTGTATGTACTAAAGAATGTTTCACTGATGAATTCTTCGTAAACAATCTTAAAACTATATTAATCATAAATATGTTGATAAGGTATTTTAATAATAAGTAAAATAATCCTATAAGATTGAACCATTCATCAAGACAGTGTATTCTACCTGCTTATTATTAATTGTATATTAAAACTGAGATAGTTCACTTCACTCATTAATAGTAAAAGGAATATTATAACTGATGATATGGTACAGAATCGGTTGTAACTATTCAGATAAATTTCCTCTTTGTCTATCTTTTGAATCTATCTTCAAATTATTTTATAATTTTAATTCTGTGACTTCTCTTATTCTGTTCAAGTCACATTCTGTATGTTTAATCAGTTTCGCTATCATTGATAATACCACTTTAGTATTCCTCTTGATAATTTCACCTCACTGTCGTTTGACAACATCATTCAATGTTGATTTGTCCCAGATTTCTATGCTGTTTATGACTGACTGGTCGTTAGTTGACGAGATTTCGAGTCACCTAGGCTAGTGTTCACTTTGCGACTTGATCGAACAACTAGGCAGACACGATATTGATCGCCACACAGTGGTCAATCAACCGAATATTTTTTCATATTCAGTTCATCGGCTATACAAGTCATGCTGTTGTGAACGAGAACACAAATGGGAACAATCGAATTTATTTGAATACAAAATTACAGAACATCTTAGTAAAATCTTAGAAGCATACAGTAAATACTTAATTTATAAAATACCAATCAATCGTCTCAGACCCTATTGTTCCTTCATTTTCACACCAATCATTCTCTGTTTTCGTTCTTTTTTCTTCGACCTTCTGCCTCCAGGTATTTCACTTTCGAATAATGATATATACTACTTATATCTATGAACATCAGTAGCGTACACAACAATGCCATTTCTTTTTTAAATAAGTTATCCATTTTAAACCAAGGTTAATATATAAACTAGCTTAGTTAATTGAAGTTAACTGCTGGTTGGAGAATTGATTAATCACTGACTTTATTCATCAAATGAAAAAGTATCGAAAACTTAAAAAATATTCAGCACGTTTTTTAACAAAGCACATGGTCTCACCATATATATATATATATATATATATATATATATATATATATATATATATATATATACAGAGAGAAAGAGAGAGAGATTTATGTGTGTCTAATAGTTACCTATCAAGAACAAATTCCCCTCAACTTTTAATCGGTACTATATCTGTTTTTTATTTAGCAATAGCTTTAAAACAATAAGAAAAGAAAATAGCATTGTTATTTTTTGTAATCCCGTGCGTCACTATTTTTCGTGTAGTCATATTTTATCCGAAGTTATCCGTCGACTTTACAGATTTCGATAATAACAATTACTTTATCTTGATTAGTCTGCTTTTTCGTCGCTTTGTTCGTTCTAAAAATATATGTTTTTCTATCGAGTACTTAAGTTTTTGTAATTATTTGTATTTGTATAAGACCATTTGTTGAAAAAAAACGTATTTTTAAATGACTACAATATTGATTGTTGAATTTTATCGCAAAGAATGTGTAATGCAAGTTGATTCTGAATAAAAATGATAGTTTTATTTTTTATGCAAATGAGATCATGGAATTATTAAGAAAATCTATTTCATATTGTCAGTTGTTCAGTATAATCAATCGTCCATCAAGATTCAACTTGAGGTTATAATTTGACTCAATTTAACGATGCGGACTGGTCATTTTAGCACTAACTATTTTGCTTTATTTTGCCAACAATCTTAAATACATATTCTATGACTGTAAACTATATATTCTCTTTAAACTTGACTATCGTTTTTGCAACGTTAATTTAGATTTATAACTGTCGAACCTAATGAACATTTATTGAAAAGCATATTTGTCTTCTAGGTCATGTGTCTTTGTTTAAAGTGGTTGTCTGACTAATTTAATCTACTATGTAAGCTATATTTTGATTGAATGATCTTTCTACACGTTCAATGCTAGTAATCTCTTCTCTGTTTCTACGAAATTCAAAGTGAAAAATAAGTTTACTACATTTTGAACTCCCTTTAACAAATCTTCGAAAGGCTAATATATCTCAAGATTTTTCATTTCTAATACTATTTTTGGAGAATCGTAACATTCACTATTCATTTGTACTATATCAATACTCTCTCAGTGTTTCATTTTTAAAATAATGTTTACATAATCCACATAAACATTCTTACATCACAATTCGCACTTTAGAAAATTACCAGTAGACATTTTAAATTATCTAAAGGTATCAAAATTCACTTTGAATATGGCCTTAAAAATTTCACGTCCCGCGTGCGGGGTCGTAGATGCGCACTACTGAGGAGTTTCATATTGGAATGAAATGGTCATCCAGTGCTTCCGGGATTTCAATGGTGGTCTACTTTAGATCGACTCGTGAATTCACTTCGTATTATTATGTTAGAGAACCCTAAAAGTCATTCGTTTCGTTATAAACACCGAATTCATTTTTAGTTATGAATAAACGAACTGCATTGAATATGTAAATAGATGTTCAAGTACTAAGCACCACATGATTTCGCGTAGATAATTCAGTCAGTTGATCACTTAGTTGTTAAAAATAAAGCCAGAACAGAGTGAACACTGTACATTTTTTGGTGTATGTACCTGTGAAATTCTTACTCTTATATTTGCTGTATTCACATATCTTTAATTAATTTTAGTTAACACAATCTAGCGTTGTCACACAATAGGAGAGTTAATCATTTAAGTTTCATATGATACGATCATATTTTACCCCTACTTATTATATTTTTGGTGTTGATAATTACTTATCGACTAATCAATCCGCTATAGATAGCGACACAAAATGATTTTTCTTAGATCGATACCTGTTTTTATAATTTGGTCTAGGAGGTTCTGTGAATCAGTCATCTACCACTATGTCCATTTTTCCATAGCGTCCCAGTGTGGTGTGTGCTACTGATGTCGATAGATATAAGTAGTATGTATCATTATTCGAAAGTGAAATACCTGGAGGCAGAAGGTCGAAGAAAAAAGAACGAAAACAGAGAATGATTGGTGTGAAAATGAAGGAACAATAGGGTCTGAGACGATTGATTGGTATTTTATAAATTAAGTATTTACTGTATGTTTCTAAGATTTTACTAAGATGTTCTGTAATTTTGTATTCAAATAAATTCGATTGTTCCCATTTGTGTTCTCTTTCACTACACCAGAAAATTTAGTTGATTCATCTGTATAACTTCGTCATATGGCCACATATCCATGTGTTAGACACGCTCCATACATAATCTAACCATTATTCATTCTATCTTTGCAGCGTTCACGGGGAAATCACTTCAATGATAATAAATGTCCATTATTTTCAGTCTTATACGCTAAACTATTAACGGGCATGTACCGCATCCGTTCGTACTTAAAATGCAGAAACAGTTACAATTTAAATCATTAGTAACTTACGTATAACTGACCGAATATTTTGCTATTAAAATATCATGAACTAAGCTGGATATAATATATTCTACGAATAGATATGGAGTGTCTGTAGCACAGTCATATGGCTCAGGATCTGTATGAGTGGAGCAAATACATTCATTTTTTTCTTAAAATACTTATACGTTTTATTTCAGTAACTTATTTTTTTACCTGGTATCATAATTTCTATTCCTAATCATTATTATTACTCACACTATTGCTACTTTCTCTACCCTGGCATTTTTCGTCATAATTTCATGAAGCTATGTTGATGTGGTGTAGTAACCTGAATCGATGCACTTATGTCCCAGGTTCTGTGTTTTTTGTCTGAATGACAGTCTTTTTACTTCCTTTGCTTATGCACCGAGACAAAATTTTAATTTGCGCATTAGTATTTTCCTTAAAATTTCAAACGTTCCTATTTTCTTGTTTCGTTTTCTTTCAATTCTAGATTTAATTCATTTGTAGGCTTTAAAAAGTGAGTTCCACTTTTCTTCGTTTCTTTTTCCAATATTCAGTAATATTAAATCATTTAAATAAAAACCGTTTTTCAAGCTACATATTTACTTTGTATTACAACAGCCAATATAAAAAACACTAGACCACATGGAATATTGTTCCGATCGCCTAATCTCAAAACCTGACGATTCACGGAGGCCGATCTTATATAATATGGAATTTGTCTGCATTACATACAATCGCCGAACTAAGACCTGATTTTCAGCTTTCGTTATCTTTCATATTTGTAAACAAAAAAATAAGACAGACTTTGTCCTATTATGTAACACAGACAAAACATAAAAGCTAATAGTGAATACTACAAACCAGTTCGTAAACAAACTCATTTGGTATTGCAGAGCTATGAATAACGTTATGGATCGTCCATGATATGGTTGTCTAACATCTTGACTGGATTTGTGTGCAGTGATTTACATACGCTTTTATCGAGAAGTAGTTCCTCAGACTTCCCTGATATATTCTTCATTCTCCATACTTACTGTAGAGCGCTCATCCAGCTCAGAGAGTGAAATAATGGAGATTTTCTATTCAGTGGCAAATACTTAAAACTGTTATATATACAGCGTACCATAAATAATATACAAACCATCATAACGTAATAGACTAAGTGTTAATAAATACTAATACACCTTGATTTTATAAAACTGACATTATGACGTATAACATTACAAGAATGTTTGAAGTGTACAAACTCTCATACTTATTCAGGGAATGAATCATGAAAGTCCAATTGAAAATGTTTCAAATGACAAAACACAAACAATCGATTAAATAATGAATTAAAGCTGTCATTTATACATACATATATAAAATATATAATAAAAAAGAAACATCTTAACAGATTAATAATGATGAAATAACGTAAAAGTTACAAAACGACCATCTATTGTTTATTACTATATATTCCAAAAAATGACTTACCAATTATACTATCCTGAAACAAGTATAGAAATCAGTATATATCCGTAGATTTTCATTACTCTTTGAAACACACATCACTGATCCAATTCGAATAACGATTATGAACACGAATGATAGAATTTAATAATCTTTATCAATCATCGTACTAAAAGAAACTAAGCGAAAACAAGAAACACTGAAAATGTTTATATATTTCAGTGAGAATATTTAATAAACGTCGATCATGTTCACTACTTACAAAAACAACACTAATGAGTTTTAGAGGGCACTATGAGAACAGCAAGTGTGTTTCAAGGCCAGAAAGATTGTCATCATTATATATTGACGAAAACCTCAATTGTATGCTGCGTCCTCGAATTTCTGACAGGCATTTCAGTATCCGGTCGGTTACTGACGAACGAAGTATGCAAAAACCGCACATACACACTATTTTGGACGGTAAGGCCAATAGGAAACTGTAAAGACTGATAGCTGATGTCTTACAAAAGTACTTTGAACAACGAAAACGGAGAAGTGTATGGTGAAAATAAAGTCTGAATGACATCACCTACAAATAAATATTAGTTCTGACGACCTCGATAACTACACGTCGTATGTTCGTGGGCAACAATGCATACAGTTTTGAGAAGCAACCCCTCAGTGGTACGAATTCCCATTATTTCTCAGTCGGAGCCAATAAAAGCAATGGGTAGAACAATTCACTCAAGATGGCCTTCAAAATTACTCTTATAGAGCTGTAATCAGTATTCAGGATGATCCACGTCACATGCTTTAAGGAGAATTATTACAATAAGAAGTCCACAGACATCTGTCTTATGTATGATAATCATAAAATAAGTCGATGTGTCGTCAATGTATTCGTGGTTCACTAGCCAACTTTAGAATGTACTGAAATTGATTATATGGATTGAGTAGCGTTATTATTTTCGACTTCAGTTGTTATAAAATGTTGTTCTGAATAAAAGTAACAAATATGTGAATTCCTATCATTCTGTTTTCGACATAATCAAGTTTGTAGTTATTCCAAAGTATAACTTCCTTTGTAAACAAACTGAAGACTAGGTGACGTGCTATGATTCGAAGTGGTTGATATACTGGACTATTTGGCAAAACTTGTGAACTGACAGAATCATCAATTTTGTTAACGATCAAACGGTGATCTTGATACTTTTAGAATGATCGTTGTGATCATTAAATTAAATAACCATAAAAATCTTCAAAAAATTAATGAAGTTGAACAGTTTCGCGACTTCTGACATATGAGCACATCGACCGACATGCGATAGTCTCATCACAATGTTAAGCTTGTTCAACTTTATGTGGTTGGAAGCAGAACGCATAATCGAACAGTGACATAAAATTTGTTGGATGTCGAATAACACATACAGTATAAAATACGAAGAAATCATGTGTGTCTGATATGCATATATGTTGAGGAGCTTAAGATAGTCGCAATATGTGGTTCTTAACGGTGGAGGTTTGTATCTCAGATGGATAATTTTGGCAGAGTTTCATTCTCTGAACCTGACGGTTTGGTTTGCTTTTTTTAGACTTTGACTTTTGGATATTTGTGTCATTGGTGGAGAGCAGGGATAGAGATTCCTTTGCTAGGTTTGATTCGATTGAGTCGAATAGGGCCGTTATGATGAAAGATATCACCAATTCGTTGTTGTTGATTCGGATCTCTTTCATCTTATCCAACTATTGTGTGGGAGACTTAACGGGGTGATTGTGTGGATCAACTGTCTCAATTCTCTTGAAATTTCCCCAGATACATTGTGTTGAGATTCTGGGCAGTGATGCTATTAGACGTAGTAGAATGCTTGGTTTGTGTAGTTCTAGTCTACTGTAGAATTGAAGGAGTACTGGTCCATTGTATTTCATTGATCTTGTATTGGTATTTGTCCTGCTTTGACAAGTTTGTTTGAAATCCTGTAGATTTGGTTGTCTAACATCTTGACTGGATTTGTGTGCAGTGATTTACATACGCTTTTATCGAGAAGTAGTTCCTCGACTTCCCTGATATATTCTTCATTCTCCATACTTACTGTAGAGCGCTCATCCAGCTCAGAGAGTGAAACCCCACCAAAATGTGGTTGTAAACCTTCAGGGACACGACTTGGAGTTGTTTTAAATTTCGATTTTCGACATTATTTCATACTTTTGACTCACCAGATAGTTTCCATATGTATTGTTGCTTTGACTCGTTTTGGTTTTCTACTTTGCTAATTTCTTCATGGTGCGATAATATTTTAGCAATGAAATAGTGAGTCTGGTTATTGAACAGTTAATCGATCTAAATGCAACAATTCGATTTGATTGAAGGATATCTAACGTGCATTTATCGTTTAGGGTAAACAGTTTTTATGAAGACCTATTCGTCGAAACACTGTACTGCTTTAGTAGTATTTGTTATGTCCCGATATGTGTAGTGAACGCTAACTTGTGAATTCGTTTATGGACCAATACTATGTGTATGTTTCTATCGTAAATTGTTGAATAACTAAATTATTCATGTTCATGTCCCCTTCATTATGAGGTTTATTTTGAACTGTGAACTAACATTATATGATTTACCGTTCTTGAATTATACCCACTCTATCAATCACTGTTCCCCACATCCACAGCCACATTTGGCTAAATCGTGTATAAATGTTATTTTCTAATTTATGGCACGATGTATTCTGTTTGATTGGTATGTAAACCCAGTATGCTTCAAATAAATTATTCATATTGCAGAAGCTGTTATAGGTGTTCTGGCTTAACTGTCTGGGCTAGGCAGAAAGCAGGACCGATAAGTACTCTAGGCTGCTCGTACGGGTTACGTGTGTCATTGGTTCGATCGATAAATCACTTCTTCCTAATAGGCGGCACAATATATAACAATTAGCTTCCACATGTTATAACAGTATTTATCTGGAGTTCATTAAAAGTTCAGAGATAGCATCCATATACAGTCATTTTTTAAATCTAGTTTGTAACGCATCACATTACGTTGACATATCTATCGTGTATTAACACAAAATATTGATACATATCGTCTGATATGATAATCTGGTCTAAGTCTACTCAGTATATATCAGCAATAATAACTGTAGATATTACAACAATAAAACGTCTGAATTTGGATATCCTGTACAGAATTAGCTTGAACAAGTTCATCCTAAATTTCTCCAAGTATTTCAACAATTAATATCATGTAACTGAAAGTTTGAATTTTGTTATTACCTAATATTATGTATAATGATTGCTATCTGACTAGTTAATACGTTTATTTAATATTTCTTTACAGATTAATATGCTTTAAAGCTTCATATTTAGTTAGTGCATTTCATAAAGGCTTGCACTTTCCAACCAATTATGAAGGCCTTATTCCCACTCTTGAAATTAATAAAACCGAATTACAATGGAGTTTAGGAGCTTTATTATATAAATTAAAGTAAGATTATTATATTATTATTATTATCATTATTATTATTTGTACATGAGATGCTTGAATAAAACTATATAGGATACTTTTAACTAAAGAAACCGAATATTCGTAAGCAGATATAATAATTCAATTTAAAAATGTATCACTTCAGTGTGAACCTTAAAATAGCCACCAATGTTTCATCAGTATTGTTTATTCCATAAAATAGAAAAAAATCATTTCTTTTAGAATTGGAATTATTATTTCTTATGTTGAGTGCTAACACTAAAAATTAATATAAATAGCTATAAATAGTGAATATAAAGGGACTGTTACAAGGATTATAGAAGATCTGTAAATGATCTGTTCAATGTTTTGTTGTATCCTTTTTCCAAATGAACAACTTTACTTCAATAGCGATAAATCACCAGAGCAAAATAGCTTACACCTAAGGAAAACATTACACAAACTAATACTGACAAACTTTGAACAAAATAGAAATGGCAGTAATGTGAGTTTTCAATCCTCCTTCAGTTCAACTCAGTAAGTCATATGCGATGTAGAACTTGATACATATGTGCATCGCTTGAAGTCGATAAATTAAATTAGCACAGTTAGATGACATAGTACATGTAGTAATAGTGGCACAAAAGATATGATTCGAGAAAATATGGATTTTTGGACTACGAAAAATGCAAGGTAATTTAGAAACTTAGAATATAAGAGAGGACAAAGAGTGAATGCAACTTTGCTATTGTGATCGATTCTAAACCATATCCTCAAAGTCTCTAACCTTTGGTTACGAAAATCGCTCAGGACCCAATCAAGTATTCTGCATATACTTACAAGACTTAGTATAACACCCAATGATTCATAAATTAATGCCATGTTTTGATCTGACTTTCCCTAGTTCCCTCCCAACCTACTCCTAAACAAGTCATCACGGATCGAGGTATTCGGTGGATGGACATACGTAATACATGTCCCAACCACCTTGGTTTTCAAAGGTTCACTACCTCACCAGTCGATTTGTCATCTTTATATAGTGCTCTGAGTCTAACCTCAGCAATACTTAGTCGGTGGCCCCAACGTACACAAAGAATGCTTCGAATACATCAGTGATCAAATACCGATAAAGTTTATTTTTCACCCCGAGGTAGCATCTACGGTTGGGTTCTATTCAACTATCGAAATGTTCATTGTTTAGACTATCGGACACAAAACGTTGAAATAATAATACTAACTGTAAGAAAATTATATTATTACTTTTCAACTTCAGTTGAGCTATTTTAAAAATTTAGAAATAGACAATGCGTCTTCATAGAAGTAGTAACTTGGAAAAGTGATACTCAGGTGTTATAACTGTTTTATAATTTCTCCTTATTATGACCCAGCTGTTCCTACTGCTTAGTATTATTGGACACCAATGCACTCTACAAGTCCCCAAATCAGAACACGGTTGAACAGGAAAGAAATTATATTCCGAATAACAAGGATAGATGGAAGTAAGAAGCGCAATAAGAAATACGTTAGTATATTTATGGTTTTTACATGCGAAGATTCTAGAGTCTTCTCCAAGCATCGACTACAGCTGATTGGTTAAGAATTAGCAGTCAGCGTGCACTAACACAATGGTGCATGGGACATGCTTTAATCCACTCTATGTCCCGCTAACATCAAGCAAGCAATTCACTATTTTAATGAATCTAACATGTCTTAACAAATACATATCCAATATTTTTCATAGTGATTTTCTGCCTACGTCTTTCGCTAATTTTATCAACGAATGTTTGTGAGTTCACTGTTTAAGATTTGACTCATGTTTGTTTCTTTCTAATTCTTTCCTTTATTTCACAAAAACAAACATTTAGAGCAACTACAATAGACGAAGAACAAAAGAGGGAAACTATTCTGTTGTCAGTGGTTATTTTTTGCATTGTAATCGTTTTAATATTAATAGCTATTATACTCTATTTTACAATACTCAAATGTTTACGCACAAGTAAACAAGAACAAAATGGTTCAATTACAACTGATATGAACAATATAGAATCGAATGTAAAAAGTAACAATGATACGTTAAATCAATTAAATGATAAAATGCCATGATTTTCGAATAATCATTATCCAAATAATATACATCTACTTACTAACACTTCATATCATAAGCGCTTGTCATATGTTTACATAATGAGCGCTTTATTTAAATTTATTTGACTCGTGTTATAGTTATGTACTCATAACTTTTCTTTAGACATTAGTCTGTTGAAACAAAGGAAAGATAAGATACTATTTTATTGAGTTTTGTGTGCGCCCGATTCTTACATTTGTAATTATTTTCTTTGATTTGATTATTTATTTATTATAACTATTGTTTACTTCAAACTTATCTTTATTTTTGATAATAAAAGCTGAACAAGTTTTCTTTTCCGTTATGATTGTATTCTTACTTACCTTACATTGGTCGATCAGCCTAAAGACGCGTGTCAACTAGTGGCTTAGTCGAGATATAAGTCACACGGGGTAATACGTTTTATGCGATCGTATTAGCTTACTGATGAATATTATTTGTTTGATAATTACTGGTTAAAAAAATTCTATAATATCCTCGTAATTGTAATAGATATTAAGACACGTATACGTGCATCATACGACCAGTTAGCCTTGCATAAGATATTTTAATATATAAACGTTTGTGTCTGAGTTCAGTGTGTTATGTCACAATCAACTCCATGTACGAAAATCTATTCATCAATATAATAGTTATTAACAATGCCTTCAGAAGAGCATACTGAAGATCTCACAAAACATGAATGGTAATCAACACTTAGTAAAATAAAGGCTTGATTTAATTTGACAATAGATTCTCATATCCTTATTCAATAAATTAATAAATGCACGTTAGATATCCTTCAATCAAATCGAATTGTTGCATTTAGATCGATTAACTGTTCAATAACCAGACTCACTATTTTATTGCTAAAATATTATCGCACCATGAAGAAATTAACAAAGTAGAAAACCAAAACGAGTCAAAGCAACAATACATATGGAAACTATCTGGTGAGTCAAAAGTATGAAATAATGTCGAAAATCGAAATTTAAAACAACTCCAAGTCGTGTCCCTGAAGGTTTACAACCACATTTTGGTGGGGTTTCACTCTCTGAGCTGGATGAGCGCTCTACAGTAAGTATGGAGAATGAAGAATATATCAGGGAAGTCGAGGAACTACTTCTCGATAAAAGCGTATGTAAATCACTGCACACAAATCCAGTCAAGATGTTAGACAACCAAATCTACAGGATTTCAAACAAACTTGTCAAAGCAGGACAAATACCAATACAAGATCAATGAAATACAATGGACCAGTACTCCTTCAATTCTACGGTAGACTAGAACTACACAAACCAAGCATTCTACTACGTCTAATAGCATCACTGCCCAGAATCTCAGCACAATGTATCTGGGGAAATTTCAAGAGAATTGAGACAGTTGATCCACACAATCACCCCGTTAAGTCTCCCACACAATAGTTGGATAAGATGAAAGAGATCCGAATCAACAACAACGAATTGGTGATATCTTTCATCATAACGGCCCTATTCGACTCAATCGAATCAAACCTAGCAAAGGAATCTCTATCCCTGCTCTCCACCAATGACACAAATATCCAAAAGTCAAAGTCTAAAAAAAGCAAACCAAACCGTCAGGTTCAGAGAATGAAACTCTGCCAAAATTATCCATCTGAGATACAAACCTCCACCGTTAAGAACCACATATTGCGACTATCTTAAGCTCCTCAACATATATGCATATCAGACACACATGATTTCTTCGTATTTTATACTGTATGTGTTATTCGACATCCAACAAATTTTATGTCACTGTTCGATTATGCGTTCTGCTTCCAACCACATAAAGTTGAACAAGCTTAACATTGTGATGAGACTATCGCATGTCGGTCGATGTGCTCATATGTCAGAAGTCGCGAAACTGTTCAACTTCATTAATTTTTTGAAGATTTTTATGGTTATTTAATTTAATGATCACAACGATCATTCTAAAAGTATCAAGATCACCGTTTGATCGTTAACAAAATTGATGATTCTGTCAGTTCACAAGTTTTGCCAAATAGTCCAGTATATCAACCACTTCGAATCATAGCACGTCACCTAGTCTTCAGTTTGTTTACAAAGGAAGTTATACTTTGGAATAACTACAAACTTGATTATGTCGAAAACAGAATGATAGGAATTCACATATTTGTTACTTTTATTCAGAACAACATTTTATAACAACTGAAGTCGAAAATAATAACGCTACTCAATCCATATAATCAATTTCAGTACATTCTAAAGTTGGCTAGTGAACCACGAATACATTGACGACACATCGACTTATTTTATGATTATCATACATAAGACAGATGTCTGTGGACTTCTTATTGTAATAATTCTCCTTAAAGCATGTGACGTGGATCATCCTGAATACTGATTACAGCTCTATAAGAGTAATTTTGAAGGCCATCTTGAGTGAATTGTTCTACCCATTGCTTTTATTGGCTCCGACTGAGAAATAATGGGAATTCGTACCACTGAGGGGTTGCTTCTCAAAACTGTATGCATTGTTGCCCACGAACATACGACGTGTAGTTATCGAGGTCGTCAGAACTAATATTTATTTGTAGGTGATGTCATTCAGACTTTATTTTCACCATACACTTCTCCGTTTTCGTTGTTCAAAGTACTTTTGTAAGACATCAGCTATCAGTCTTTACAGTTTCCTATTGGCCTTACCGTCCAAAATAGTGTGTATGTGCGGTTTTTGCATACTTCGTTCGTCAGTAACCGACCGGATACTGAAATGCCTGTCAGAAATTCGAGGACGCAGCATACAATTGAGGTTTTCGTCAATATATAATGATGACAATCTTTCTGGCCTTGAAACACACTTGCTGTTCTCATAGTGCCCTCTAAAACACTTTGTTGAATTGAAAATACGCGTTTTTTTTCGACAAACACCTTTCAACATCACTTGAGAATTGTGATAGTTCCTAATTTTCTCAATAGGTGTATTTATTGGACAGGTTATGTATATCTACCCACATTCGTTGGTAATGTTTGTACTCAAGAGTAGACTATAGACAAATACCCAAGAAATAAACCTAATATAACCAGTTATAAACAATGTATTTCTAGGTGCATTTGATGATTTGGGTCTAGCAGACAGATTATCAAATGACAAATTTCGTACCGTTAAGCCTTAACTTAGTTATGTGACTTTTTGAAGAGGTTTTTTCAATTTTCTTGGCAATTGAATTCCTCCCAAACACGATTTCATCATTAGGTCTCAATCGCGTATCTTTGTTTGTGGACGTTGTTGAATGGTACGAGTAAACACCTTCATAATTTTCCCTTTCTTTCAGTTGTTAACTAAGTGATGTAATTTCGCGGTAATTTTGGCTATTTATTGTTTTTAGCTTAAACGTATTAATTGTGTTCTATTTTTTTCTGGGGCATTTGAGTTATCAATTCAAACACTGGTTGAAAAAATACAACTGGAAGACTGAATGCTAATCAGCAGTGGTGAATTACATTTCAGTCTTCTAGTTCGTTGATCACCGGTATGTATTTTTTCTGACCATATTTTAATGTGCTAATGGAACTGACCTCTCATCAAAGAAAAAGAGATGTACCAATAAACCACTTCTTCCTCTCTGAGTTAATCGCAGGTGGAAGTTGGTGCATTAGGTCACAACTCGAAACTGAATATCATCTACAACACAGACTGCTCTAGTTACGAACATTACATCGGATAAACTAGTCGTCTTCTTCATGTTCGTATACATGGGCGCTAATTGATTGTCGAACGCAACAACATATCTTAGATTTTATCAATAATACACAGAGATAACCGCAGACAGAGATAATACAAAAAAGACGAGGGGATTTTTGGAAACTTAACAGTAAGATCAGTCGATAATCACCATACATATTCAAAAAGACTTATCAATTAAATAGAGAAATCATAAGCAACTACCACCCGAACTGGGTAAAACGGGGCAAGACTAACAAAATAAATTTGCACAAAATGACAGGATAAGTAGTAATAACAACCAATCAAACTTAATGTCAACAGGACAGGCTGTTAGTCGCTTGTTAGTAAACTCAACTATGCCACTTCCATATTATGTTTGTCCTAATGAAACTGTCTAAAAATGTAACGAAAGGTACACGATTAAACCATCTAGGTGAGAAAATTCATTTTCAATGAAACCATTTTCCTGAAATACAAATCTTTACATCTCATTCCGTGAATAATTAAACGCAAAACTCAATTTCCTTCTCAGTAGGATATATAACGTACATTAATATTGTCGTAGCTCGGACATTATTCATCCTTTATCAGCGTCTTGTTTTATGTATCACAAAAGTTATAATAAGAAGCAATAACCCAACGGTGACTACTTACTGTTAAGTTAAATGATAATCAAGGATTTATCAGATGAGATTTGATTAAGATACATCGTCATAAAATATGTTGCTGGTCTGATGCAAGGTCGAGGGGGGGAGAGTCGACTCACCCTCTCCAAATGCTCTCATATGGCCACGCGTATACAGCCAATGCCACGCAAGTCCTAATCACTGCCTTCTCGTGGAGCGGGTGTTTACAAAATCGAGAGGACGAAAAGCGGATGTCTGGAGCTTTAACCGGGTTGGTGGACACAGAGGAGAGTTGGAATACCCTGATTCCAAACCAATGGCGCACATGGGCTCCAAGAGGGCAAAATGGCGTGTGAACCGATCATTGGTCACCGGTTACAAAGGGACTGTATTTCCTGACGTTGCGCCACTGCCTTGTTGATTAGACCTTTAGGCCAAATGATTCGGGTGTAGCCCCCTGAAAAACCACCTACTTCGGTCTGGACACCCGGGCAGTATCACAGCCCACACACAAATCAGGTGACCCATGTAGCGCATATGTATTTGGTGCCCTTTTGTACCGATATTTATGTTCAAATAAATGCCAGTCTAATGATAGATGACAGCCACTACTTTGTATGATCCTTTTCCTAACACTTCAGTGAAACATCAACTGCCTATCTACA